GTGTGGGTCTGTTCCTACCATGGGTAGGCTCTCAAACCAGATTTTGGATTTAAGCAAGAAGGTATTTAATTGGTATGGACCAATGAGAATGTTTAAAGATATTGGTGTCTGTTGCTATGCAGATGTTATGTAGGCATTTGTGCGTGTAGACAGGTAGCAGCAAGAGATTTGGTATCTGGCTTAAAATACGAGAGCACTGAAATATATCTCACCTGAAGTATATAAACACTATCAAAAAAGAAGAACAGTAATACCCTCTTATTTGTATATACTTGTGTCCCTACCCCCAGTGATAAGATGTGACACATGATTACTTTCATCTGTGGAGGGTCCACATATAGACAAACTAAAGAGAAAAACTACCCAGTCAGAATGCTTCCACCTACCCCATTTGGTGCAAATCTGAAATTCATGGAACCAGATCCTTCTTGTGCTTTGCAGTTAACTGCCTTAAGACATGGTGTCCACTGTAGTACCAAAGTACAGGAAAATAGCTGAGGAAGTGGGATAGATACTACAATTTCATCTTATATTCATCTAACCCTCTCTCATTCACAGTGAGAGGATGTAATAAATTGTCTGCCCAGAACCCACAAGAACTACCACACAGTTGTCAGATTATGTGAGAGGAAATATCTCATGTTGTAATCCCCAAGACTAGGCTTTTCTCATTGCTAGACTTTGAACTTTTCAAAGTTTGATGGTAGAGGAAGTAAAACTAATACTACACTTTGATCCCAGCACTACTTCCCTATAAGGATAAGATGTGACATGAGGCCATTTTTAATGTTCGGTTTCTATAGGTCAAATACAAAAACTGCCTAGAACCCATGGCCATTCCACCAACTTTTCATTTTTAGTGCAATGAGGAAACTTCTGTCACAGTTTTGGAATCACTGGAACTAGGTATCCCTGAAATTGTTCATGTAAATTGCCCGAAGACAGAAACACAATTGAGAGGTGAAGAACAGATACTACACTTTGAAGGCTGGGAAACATGCACAGTATTTACCTACATCCCCACAACAATAGAATGTAACAGTCAGTTTAATGTGGGTGCCCATATGTGTATATGTGGGTTACCCCACTTGGCTTTGCCAAAACATCTGCTAGGGGACCAGTGATGTCCAGAGTCTTGGTGATGTTTGGTGATGTCCAGGGCCAATGCCTTGATTTTATGCCGCTAAGACATAAGTACTGAGGGGGGAGCTATAAAGCCTGGTACTGAGCAAGGTGAGGAAGGAAGGCATTTTAAATATGTAAAAACAGATGAAACATGAACTAAACTCTTTATTCAAATTAAATATAAACTAAATTTTTATTTTGCTCTTTGATTGGATGCCCTCCCAATATGAATGCCTGGGGCTATCACACACTCTCCGCTCCCCCCTTTCTGCACTCTAGTGTAGGGGGCACTCTTTAAGCCTATGAATAGGCAATCGTATTCTTTCTCTTTCTCTTTTTCAGCTCTTTTTAACTCTTGCTTCCAAATGTGGTCAACATAAAAAAAAAACAAACAAAAAAAACACTGCCAACTAGGTGCATTCATTTCATTGAATCTCTGTTGACTTTTAAACTCTCTCTCATGTACACATATGCAAACATGTGTATCACACACTCTTATTTCACACATGCACACAAACAAGGACATTGCAGGAAATTTGTCCTGGCTTTCCCACATGAAAAGGTTGAGGTAAAAAATTGCGACAAAAATTGAATAAAAACAGCAAGATTAGAGTGGACAAACTCTCTCTTTTAGGTGGACGAATAAAGAAAGACACAAAACTGCTCCTCGGTGTATAACAATAAAAGAAGAAAGTGTTTATTTATATATACAAAAAAATGGTAAAGGGATAAACGCAATTAGGAGAGAAAGAAAAGGAGAAGAAAAAGTCCTTTAACTTTAAAGGAAGAGAAAATGTTCATAAAAGAAAAAAGGCTTGCTCAAAATATTTCTCTGAGCACCTAAAAGTTCTTTAAGCAAGTAGAATTTTGTTAAGGGTTAAAATACTCACAGTTTTCTTCACGGTTCTTGTAGAGTAGGAAAATGTCAGTAGATATATTGCAGTTGAGTGTGTTCATAGGTTGACAACAGAAGTCTTGTAAGTGAAAGGAGGCTGCTTTCAACTGGTCTTTAATAGTGGGTTGACGTTTGTTCTTGACAGCCCTATAGTAGTTAGTTCTTTCTAGCTGACAGCAAAGATTTCTCCTTTTCCGTCACCGAACTTTGCTGTTTCTCAGACAATTGTCACTTGTTTACTGCCAAATAGACAAAGATTCTTCAAATTTATGGAGATTTGGGAGGCTCAAAAAGAATCAGGGACTTTTCCCTCCAAAATTGTTTGTATAACAATTTTGGAGGGAAAATTTCCTGGCCCCTTCATTAGTTGGAAAATATATTCTTATCTCTAATAAGAATCACAGTCTTGGGAGCTGCAACAAGCTGTGAGTTTTTCCTCCAGACTATGGCACCATAGAAAGAATAATGGTAGTGGAATTCCTTTTTATATTTTCCAGTTTCCTTGTTAGTCAGAAAATATATTCTTATCTCTGATAAGAATATAGGCTTTGGGAGCTGGTTTTGAAAGCAAGGAAAAAGGTTGAAGTGAGAATTGGAAAATAGGCTAGAATATGAACTTGTAAAATATTGTATTTGTGGTTCTCAAATTAAATTCTAATAACATTCTTCTTATAGCTAGTTTTAATGTTTTTGTCTTTTCCTTACAATTGTCTACACATGTAATTACAATTGTCTACACATGTAATTATAATTGTCTACACATGTAATTCCTTTTGTTAATAAATCCATTGTCATTTGTTTGATTTTTATTGTTTTGCATTTTCTTTATTTTTACCTGGACTCACATTGAGTCCACCATCATTATTTGCGGGATAAATGTTCCAGGCTCTCATAAATATTTAATTTCCAAAGTATTGATTCTCACAACATAATAATGCTGACTAATATTTACCCAAACATACTAGTATCCAACAACATATATATGGGCCAAGGGCAAAAATTGTGCAGTCCTTGCTATCCAGCAACCATTGTATTGTGAAGGAGAATATTTTACTACAAGTTGGACTCAGTTGTCAAACAAAAGACATAAAAATACTCCTACATCAAGAGGAGTAGCAGTAGCTTTTGCTGAAAACAGTCATTCACAGCTAAACATTTCCTTTCCTAGTTTCTATTCTACATTATGTTTCTCTGTTCCAAAAGATAATAAATTTGTTGTTAAACCAATTCCGGTTTCTACTGTTGTTTTTGTTACAACACCTTTTTGTGCAATGAGGGAGGTGATGCTGCAAAGGAGGAATCTTCAGGATCAGGTATCCCTCAAAGGCTCAAACAAAGCTCTTCAGTGAATTGACAGAAGAAAGAAAGATGGCAGTGGTGTTCATACTCTCTGAATCTGGATTTTACTTCTCCACCCTGCCACAAATGACCAATTTAACAGGAGATGACCATACACATTCATATGGACAAAATGCAAGAAATGCCTAGTTTCTCTGAACACTATATAAAAGTCCATCTAAATTAATCATCCGTACATGAATAATCTCATTTTTTTTACACTTAATTCTTGAACACTAATGATATTTATTTTTGCATGGGTTACAAAAAATGTGGTACAAAGTCAAAAGTGGGGCTGGGGAAGGCTGGTTTTCATATGTCATATAATTAAACTTAGCTAGCCAAACATACCACAACCACAGTATTCCTTACACCAAAACAACACATTACCATTCTTACAACAGCCACCATAATACCTCAGAGATTCTCTATGATGTCCTAAGTAGTCCCCATATGTACAATTTATCTGTGGGGGTGAGGAATAAAATAACAATTTCAAAAACCCCATTGAATATTTACAATGAAAACAAGATCGCCCTTGCATGGAGTATTGCTGCCATATATGGTCTGGAGCCCCTTCTGTTTGCCTCGGGGTTCTTGATAGGTTCCAGAGGCGGATATGCAATATAATTGGCCCTGTTCTGGCATCTCGTCTACAGTCACTCTCTCACAGATGCGCCGTCGCTTCTCTCTGTCTTTTTTACAAATACTTTCATGGCAATTGTTCCGAGGAGCTGCATTCGCTGGTTCCCAGACTTCATGAGTTCAAGTGCCCTACGAGGCTGGCATGTCGCTCTCACCCTTTCACTGTCGAAACTCCTAAATGTAGCCGTCTCTTCTACTCCAATAGCTTTATGTCTTGCACCTCTCGCCTGTGGAACTCCCTTCGCTATTCCAGTTTCCCTGAAAGCTATAATCTCCAGCTATTCAAATTTAATGTCAATCGACATCTCCAGTTGACATCTCCACTATCCTTCTTCTCATCTTTTCCTCTATCACTCCTATCTGAACTTGCTCCAAATTTTCTGTAACCCCTTGCGTCCTAGTGGCTTCTCGCCTTGCTTGGGGTGAAACGTTTAAAAAAAAATACAAAAAAAAAAACAAGAACCATAACAAAATACTAATGTTATTAATAGACCCCCCACCCACCAACTCACAATCCATAATTCTTGAGCACTAATAAAGGGGAATAACTTCGACCAATATTAACTATTTTATAAATTTTAAGAAATTAACTATATTTTGAAAGCGTAAATTAAAAATATATTTCTTTAAATGTTTTATTCCTGAATCATTCTGTTAGATGTGACTGAAATTGATATAATAACTAATAAAAACTGTCTTGTTTACACTACAGACTGTTATTATTACTGTAGTGTAAAGTGTAAAGACAGGATTCATGTTTGTTCGGTATATAGTGAAGTTTTATAAATGATATAAATAAGAAACTACAATTTAAAAAATTATTAAAGAAATAGTTGAAAAATAATTTTTTTAAAATGTTAAAGGTAGGAAATATTAGCAATTATACGAAAATATAGTTTGATTCGAGAAGCCGCGAGATTTTACCCTGTGACGTCACTACGAACGAGATCACGTTTCTCTCTCTTCTTCGACCGGTAGGTCTGTAACATACACGCACATGGAGTGAGTACCTAATTTTATTTGGATTTTTCCGATTCGATTATGTATAAAATTTCTTAAAATCTATTTATACACGTTATAAAATACTAGTTAATGTAACTTGTCTAGTAGTATTGTCTTTTAAATGCCTTTTCTTATAAAATAAATGCGATTTATTATCCTGGTATTAATTCACTATGTCTAGAAACATGGCGCGGTCATGATGTAGTTACACGTGCTTGATTTTTAGAATCGTTTTTCTAATGAATTAATGTTAAGATAAAAACAAGAATTGATTTAATATTAACGCACTTTTTAACCTTAAAAATATTGTATCAAATATTACTTCTGTGATAATTTTAACTTTTTGTTGGTTCTGCCTTTTTGTACGAAAACTGGAGAATGACTAAAAAATGTTTATTCCTTCTTTTTTTTTTTTTTCAACGTCGTTTTTCTTCTTTTAAAACTGTTGTCTTTATTGCGAATACGTCGTATTTAAGCTTTTATCGATATCAGTAGAAATTTAAACCACAATTAGTAGATAAATGTGTTAAAATTCAGTTTTTTTTTTTTTGTTAATCAAATAAACGATTTTAAAAAAATTAAAAAGTACATAATCTAAAAAACTAAAGTGTGCAGCTGAACTGTTTAAAATGTTGATTAATTTCGTGGATTAGGAGAAAAAATAACTTATTTCTAATCTCGGTAGTAAAAGTATGGAGATTTTTTTCTTCCTTTTAAATTTTAACCTTTTATTTTTTGGTTAGTTCATTCGAATTTAGATGCAAGTTTTCTAGAAATATAAGGATGAGATAAAGATGCTAGTTTTAACTTTGTGTCAACTAGTCTTAATTTTTAAAATAAAACTGGTGTCCATATCAAGACAGTATTTTGTTTTAAAATCCTTAAATTAATTCCTATTTCTGATCAATGTTTTTGAACTTTTAAAAGATTTTATCGATAAAATAAAATTTCAATTTTGTCAAGTGGTTCAGAACTTCGTCTAGCTAGAGAGAATTATGGGCTAAATGTGGGTTGTTTGTATTACTATTAATGCATGCCAATAAATGCTTATAAACCACATGGTGATTAATGTTGCTAAGTGTCTTTAGTGAATTTCAATAAAATTGAGTATCTTACATGAATAAAGTGTCAATTTATTTAAAAAATAGACCAATACCCTATTTCTTAGACGAATGTTCCAAGGATCCACCTTATTTTCACTCGTGTACATTTCCCCCTTTATTAACGAACAAGTAACAGGAATACAATTTCTGATTAGTAAATATAGTTTTCACTTAAATCTAAATGGCTGGAATTGATACATTAATAATTTTTTCTAATTAAAATTTTTTAAAAAATGTTTAAAACATGTGATGGTGTTCTTAGATTAGAAACTTTCCTAATTAAATAACGTCAGTAGTTTTATTGCATTTTTTATTTTACGATTCATGGCTGATTTTCTGCACTGTTCCTGCTCGACAAAAACAAAATAATTACTAAAATTCTGCAAAGAGTTCCTGTAAATTTAAAGTCAACATTCTTAAAATTAGATTACGAAGAATATTTCCGAACATTTTTAAGATTACTGAGTACTTATATATAGGCGCTCACGTCAGTTTTCTTAAATTATGTTTTACAAAACAGTAAACCTTGTTATCAATCGTCAAACACGTAAACATACGTATTGTCAAATAAGAACACACAGCTATTATTTTATTTAAAAATGCATTCTTGTGTTATTTTAAACTAAAAGTAATTGTTTGTTTCAGATCTGGAAACATGGAAAGTTGGGATGAGGTGACCGCGCCTGCACCTGAAATGCCAGAAATCAAATTGTTTGGAAAATGGTCTCCAGATGATGTTCAGGTCAATGATATCAGTTTAACTGTAAGTGCTTTAAAAATATATTAGTAGGTAAAGGAATGGAAATTTGGGAATAGATCTTATTTTGTTTTATCTCCCCAAAGTTTAAATGTCATCGAAATTTCAAACATGTGAAGCTGTTGAACTTTCAAAACTAAATTACATTTTTATTTTATAAAATTTGAGATTTTTAAATACAGTCTAAGATGATGAATGTTGCAATATTACTAGATGTCATGCTTTCTTCAAAGATAATTTTAGATGGGAGAAGGCACCTGGTCCTGGGGATTCCAACTTTGCAGCAACACCTTACTGATTGCACTAAGTGGCGTTGGTGTAATATAAACACCAGCAGGGATTGGGCAGTTTTTTTCTTGATCCATATTTATGCTTATATTATTGTCAGTTACATGGGGAGGGTCATCATGCTTTGATTTTCATTTTTATATATATATATATATATATATATATATATATATATATATATATATAAATCATTCATCAAGGAAGGTGCTGTTTTCTAATCCAAGTACTTTTGATCTTCAGGGGTAAAATATATAGGCACGATATATCTATTATTTAGTGAAATATGTTTGAACATGTATATTTTGGTAGCATGTTTTTATTAAGACATGTCTCATTAAATAATTTAGATGAGTTTTGTTTACCTATTCCTAATGGGATCCTCTCATATTTACAGATGAGTTTCTTAGTATCCTTATTAAAGAAAATTGCCATGCTGATGTATATTCATTTTATTCCCAAGTACTTTCAACATTAGCACAATGTCATCGTCAGGGTCTTGTTTTTGTCAAGTCAAAATTGCTGTGTTCACCTGAAAATTACTCTTTGTTTTACTTCCATTAATAGGGATACTAAGGAATTAGTTCTTAAATATGAGAGGACCCTATTAAGAATAAGTAGATAAAACTTGGCTAAATTATTTAATCACACACACATATATGCACTTGCAAGTGAGACTCTTAATAGAAAATATGCAAAAGAATTGTCTACTTGCAAACAATCTGACATAAACTACATTAATGCATATACACTGAATAAAACTTATTTACTGGAGAACACATACATAATCTGTTCTGAGTTAACTTTTCAATGAATAATTGAAATGCATATAATCAGGTAATTTGTTCAGAGTTCCACCAAAATTACACATAAAAGTATATGAGAGATAAACAAATTAAAACCAACAAATCCTGAGTGAATGATGAATAGATACAGAAACAGATCAAAGCAGAAAAATCTGGCACTTTAATATCACTTGCACTGGGAACATTTTCTCAATGTAATTTTTGTAATGCCATTTTATAGGAGAGACTTTGTAAATCACAGTTACAATAATAGTAACACCTTTGAACAATACTGTCAGATTATTTACATTGTTCGGACTATTGTCCTCATCTTTGTCACCATATTACGGTGTTTCGTCCGTTGTATGCTCCGGCCTTCTTCAGGTGATTGGAATGTCAAACTGAACCCTTTATTTTGCTCACTGGAGTAGTTCCATGTGCCATGTTTAATGGATATCAGTTATCTCCTGTTAATTCCCTTCACCACCGCCTTAACCAGGTATTAAACTCGCACTCTTTGGGTCTTGTCACTGAATCTAATTAATGCCTTTGTTAAGGCGGTGGAGAACTTGGAGAGGGGAATTAACAGGAGATAACTGACATCCATTAGACATGGCACGTGGAACTAGAACAGTCTACCCCAGTGAGCGAAAAGGTTCAGTTCGACATTCCAACCACCTGAAGAGGGCCGGTGTGTACAACAGCCAAAACGTAATAAATATGGCGACAAAGATTTGGACAATAGTCTGAATAATGTAAATAGTGTATATAAATGTAGGCAGATACTAATACTGTCAGATGCTGTTAATTCCTATATATATATATATATATATATGTTCTACATGTAATGTAATCTAATTATTTCAAGATGAGGTTGACTGTGGTCTGTGTTCAAACCCAAGTGTCAGCAGTGAAAGTTTATTCCTATATGGCAGTAATTCAACTGTTTGGCCTTTACATAAATTATCGATTCCCTTAAACTCACTTTTCTTTTTTTTTTCTTTTTTTTCTTTATCCTATTTTTCCAAATTGTGATATGATTTTCTCAGTTTAATTAGTCTCATGGCTACTTGTTTGAATGAGGGTAATGTTGATTAAAATGACAGCAGAGTAAGACATAAATTATAAAAACTGTTCTAATTACCTGCCAAGAGACTAAACCACTTTTTCTTTCCTCTCCCCACAAAAGCTCTGCTTCCAACTTACCAAAATTTTTGACTATTTTCTGGCTTAGCTACTTCCCACATAAAATAAATTACCATTGAATAGATGACTTTTTCATCTGTGAAAAGCTTGTGATGTTGATAAGAAAAAGGATAAAATGCCAAAATTTCAAGATTGGGTTCCCTGCACATTTTTTATTTGAAAATTGCATGCATTTCAATGATGAATGTGGCTGAACTGAAATCAATTTTTCAATTTCAAATTATTGAAGGTATACTATTGTCAGAAGCAAATCAAAAATAGGAAAGAACACAAAACGGTATTAAAACATTATCAAAATTTAGTCATAAGCAATTTAATATGAATTTATATTTAAATCAAAGTTATCTGCAATGTTCAGTAACTTTGATAACCAGACGAAAACCTTAATTTCTACGGTAATTGATTTTCACATTTCTGTTTTTGCAATATGGCTACAGAATAGGAACAGCTCTCTTTCTTGTATATCGTCTACTGGTTTGCTGTTCAAATTTCAGCTCATTAGGTAAATTTAATGTTTTTTTTTTTTTTTTTTTTTTTTTTTGTGTGTATGTGTGTTTTGTAGATGCTTCACTGTATTTTTTATTTAGAATTTTTTCTTTCTTCCTCCACTGCATGCATATACAGTTTTAAGCTTTCTCTTCACAAAAATTTATCATTTTCTAGCTCAAATACTGTAAAATTTTATTGAATTGGAAATGTTTGTCTACAAACTTGTGTATGTTGGGTTATCAGCAAAGCAATTTATTTTTTTCTTTCAGGATTACATTGCTGTCAAAGAGAAATATTCAAAATACTTACCTCACAGTGCTGGTAGGTATCAGTTAAAAAGATTCCGCAAGGCTCAGTGCCCAATTGTTGAAAGATTGGTCTGCTCACTTATGATGCACGGTAGAAACAATGGCAAAAAACTCATGACTATGCGTGTTGTAAAACATGCCTTTGAAATCATCCATTTACTCACAGGCGAGGTAAGTAACCAATTACAATCTGAATATTCATGTTTTCTTTGTCATATAAAATTTCACTTTTCTTATATTCTTAATTTAATTTGGGTCAAAATTTTATACCTCTTGGGACTTACACACTTTTGGAAATAAAACAATGAGTCACCAAAAAATGTTAATTTTATTGTAAAATGTCTTTCAAAAGAAATATTTGGAAGTATTCTTCAATTTCACAATTTTATTTTTAAAGTTTTTGAATTATCCTGATGTGAACTACACCCAGATTTGAGAAATTAATAAAAAAAAAAATCCAAGTCATTAGCAAAATAGTAAACTTTGTGAGAAAACTTTAATTTGACATTTGTGATAAATGTTTAATGTATTTACATCAGAAATACAATAAAAACTACCTTTTGTAAAAGGGAATTTATTTTAACATTTGTAATCCAATGAAACAAAAATAGTACTTTTTTAGTGGATCCTTAAAAAAAAAAAAATGACCTTTTTCTGAAAAGCCAGAGTAGAACAAGCAATTAAATGGCAAACCAAAGTGGTAGAAGCCAAGGTTTCTTTATATCCCAATGTAAAGCAGAAGTCTATATTTCTGGGATGAGTTATCGTAAGTATTAACATAATTCAGACTGTTATTCTCATCATTATTGCCATATTCATGAGGTTTCAGCTGTTGTACAGTCGGACCTTCTTCAGATGATATGTGTTAGAATTTCAAACTGAACCCTTTAATCTACCCATGTGGGTAGATTGTTCTAATTCCATGTTCTGCCCCTTGGGGTGGGGTATCTCAGTTTCAGTTAATTTACTTTTGTAACTCAATTCTCCAAGTTTTTGTTCAATCTACTATGGCCATCTATTGAAATCAACACTTTGTGTGACCTAGCAACTTGAATAATGGAATTGTCATGCTTAGTTTAGATTCCATTTGAGCTAGTTGGTCCGAGCATTCTTCAAAGTGCTCTTTTTCTCTCTCTCTCTCTCCATTATGTATGGGTAAAATTGCAGGGCTCTCTAGCTTTAGTTGGCTGCTTGTGTAAGGAAAAGTCTATTCAGTTTGTCTATCATAGATCTCTCACTGTCTCTAGTATTGCCATAAACCCCAAATCGTTGTGCCTCAGTGATGTAATAATAGCTCAGAATTGTTAATCAGTCATGTTCCAATTCCCATTGGGTTTGTTATATTTACTTGTGCTCAGTATTTCATCTTGGCAAAGGTCTGAATTCACTTTTTCTCTCTCCAGCGAAGACTTGTATCACTAAACCATTATTATGTATATAAAAAAAAAAAAAAAAAAATTACAATCAAAAAATATTTTCTGCCTTTAAAATAACCTGCAATGGTTTACGTCTTTGAAAACGATCAAATAAGTGGTGCAGTGAATGAAAGTCTGATGCTTGAATTGAAGGATTCCATAGTCATTAAAAACCTGTAGGTAAGAAATGTTTATTGGAATGCATATATTTGATTTGTTATTGCTTTCTTTCAGAATCCTCTGCAGATGTTGGTTAATGCCATTATCAACAGTGGTCCACGTGAAGATTCAACCCGAATTGGTCGTGCTGGTACAGTCAGGAGACAAGCTGTTGATGTATCTCCTTTGAGACGTGTTAATCAGGCCCTTTGGCTGCTTTGCACAGGAGCCCGTGAGGCTGCATTCAGAAACATCAAGACCATTGCCGAATGTCTAGCTGATGAGCTCATCAATGCTGCCAAGGTAAGGGGGGGGGCATTATTATTTGTGCTTTCAGGGCAAAAATGATGAGTGCTAAACTATCTCTTTAAATATTTATACACTGAAAAATAGTTTTATTGAAGTAGATGGCAAAATTGTGAATATTGTAACTAACAAATTGCCGGTTACTGTAATTTAATTCATCAATCTTTATAAAATTACAGGGTAGAATGCAAATATTAAAATTCTCTTTTCATTCTCATTTAAAAACTACAATTAAATGTTAAAAATTGAATTATTTTTACTTTGTTTTGACAGTCATTATAAATATTTGAATACTAGTTTATATAATTAAAATATTTCAGAAAACTTTTTTAACTTGACTCCTGAAAGAGTTATGTTGGAAAGTTTCAGAAAGAAATTTCTTGGGGAGGAAGGATCTTTCATCTCACCACCCAATGTAAATGATTAAAAATAATGTAAAGCAAAGAATGGTTATTAAAAAAAAAAAAAAAAAAAATTTTTTTTTTTTTTTTAAGAAACTTAAGGCCTCCGTTTTTTTAGCCCTGAAACACGCAGTTGATATTCATAAGATAATGGTTATGCTTGTAAGATTCACTAGTAAATGATGAGGCTGGAAATTGACTACAGAAAAAGATAATTTTAATTTTTATCATTTTTGTTATTTTGTATCAAATATGAATTGCCATTTTTTGTTTTGACCAAAAACATAATTCTTTTTATTTCAGGGTTCCTCCAATTCTTATGCAATTAAGAAGAAAGATGAACTGGAACGAGTGGCTAAATCCAACCGTTAAAAATGTGACTCTCTGCAGGATGGAAATAAACATCTTTTCAAGTTACATTTGATTCCTGTTTTGTTAAAAACCGTTCTTTTAAAATTATTTGATTTATATTCCATTTTTATGCCTGTGTATGGCTTCTCCTTTGTAAAGTAACATCTTTGTGTGTGTAACAATGTAATGGGAATTGGATATTTTATTGACATAGAATTTGCAATGAGCTTATTCAATCAACTCAAGAATGAAGATTCATCAAAATATTGAAATAGGAAAACTGAAATTTTTTATGTATCTAATGTGAATAATTAATATGGTGAGTGGAAAATAATAATTCCCTTTACACGTGCTTCAAATTCAGTTGGATGAGGAAGAAGGAAAAATTTGTGAGCCTATGTGAAATTGTTTTTGGACCAAATTGTTTTTGGATGCCTTCACAGAAAATAGCCAGTCAGTCTATGTAAAATTCTTTTTGATAAGTAATGAGAAGAGTGATGGAAGCCATGAAAGTTCCTTGCTACCAGTGTTAAATTACTCTTCAATTATTGGCATGTGGCACTTCAAATAATTTTCTCTCAACAATCTAAGAAAGCAAAGTATCTGAAACTGTCTCTTTTTCCACTTTTTAACGTATGCAAACCATATGAGCAATTAACTCACCTTTCATTTTTGAATATTATTTTTTGTCAGATTATTTAATCTGTTATCTACATTTTGGACTCTTATCCTCCTCTTTGTTGCCATATTAATGCCATTTCAGCTGTTGTACACAGCCTACTTCAGGTGATTGGATTTTCAAACTGAACTTTCATCCACCAGTGTTCTAGTTCCAAGATGTCTCAGTATCAGTTATTTCTCTTTAACTCAACTATCCAAGTTTTTTTCTTCACCTAAGCTGTAGCTAGGTATTGAACTCACAACTCTGGGTCATGTATCCTTGAGACATGGAACTAGAACAATCTCAGAAATGTATTACAGATATTTAATCTGTTATATGCACATTTACTTTTCATGATAATATGTTAAAACTGCAGACTTCATCAATAAATTCCTTATCTTATTTTATTAAAATTACCAATGTCTTTCCTCATCATCATCATCCTTCATCTTGGTGTTAGTATTCTAAAATACTCGCCACTTTGGATCTGGGATATGTTTTGATGTGAAAGAGTTTGGCTTTATCTTATGGAATAATAGAAAATCTTTCGACTAAGCTGTTGATATGTCGAAGTTGAGTTGGAAACAGTATTGAAGAATCTGTCTGCCACACCAATGGACAAAGTGTACATGGAAAACTGGAACACAGTTTGGCCAGCTGCTTTGTTCTCTTGAATACATTAACACCAATGGTCCTTAATCTACACCGACTAGAGGTGGTTCTTGACCTTCCCAAAGGAACCTTGGGGTAAGATGTGCTCTTTATGCTAATCAAATGCATCAAAATTCTCCATTTTCCATCATATGTGAGGACAAAAAATCTTTAGTGACATTTTGGATTTCTTTAGAGATTCTTGATAAAATCTGTAGAATCTGCAATGTTATTGCCATCTCAGTTTCAGTCACTTCCCCAACCACCCATAATGTAGCTTCCCTGTGCCTTTTCTATAAATATTTTCATGGTAATTGTTTTCAAGAACTTCCTCTACAGTACTTAGACTTTATGAAATTTAAGAACCCAGTCTGTACAAGATTGGCAGCCAGGTTTCAACATTTTACAGTCAAAATGCTTAGACATAATCATAAGTTCTATGCTAACAGTTTCTACTATTGCACTTTTTGCCTGTGAAACTCTTGCTTCCCACTCAACTTTGAGCTTCAAAAACTTAAATTCAATCTTGTCTTCTTAATTCCTGTTCTTTTATTATCCTTTCTCCTTAATAGTATATTTTTCTCATGTTCTCTAACACTCAGTAACCCTTTGCATAATAATGGATTTATTGCCTTGATTGGGGTGAGATGATTAAAAAAAATTCTTCCATTAATTATTTTAACCTCCCATTGATTTCTGATTTAGTTAGCATTTTCCTTAATCTGGAAATCAACGTGTGTGTGTGTGTGTGTATATATATATATATATATATATATATATATAGTGTGTGTGCAAAATTTCAGATATAACTAATATATATCTATAAAAGGAGAATATGAATAAAGGCAATGAAAACTTACAGCCTCTGATGGATTTTCACTTTATCAAGGCAAATGTAAGGATTTTATTTTGCAACATATTTATAAGCAAAAGTAAAATGTTAGTTTATTCAAAATATATTCAAAAAATTTTTTGAAAAACTAATATTTTTGCTTTTTTGTTTATAAATACATCAGAGGACGAAACAGGTTGGCTAAAAAAAAGTTTCCTTTTGTCTTTATTCACGCACATTCAATATAACATTATTAGACAAGAGTGGATAATATTTTTACTTTAGCTCTTATATAATCGTACCTGGTAAAATGAATATCAAAATAATTGTTTAAGTGACTCAGCTGGGATGCATTCCGTTACAAAATGCAGGGTTTTCTCCCTTAAGATATATACCTGCTTGTAAATGTAAGTATATTTGTAATTATTAATACATACTTTATAGCTCTGTTAAACTACATTGAGCACTGTTTTGTCTACACCATTGATTAAATAGTTATTGGCTCACCTATATGATTGATTGTATCTGTTCTACATACGTGTATTAAAAAGAACAAAATTGCTTTTTAAAAGATTATGAATGAAAAAAATAATTTGGCAAGATATCTCTAAAGATTTCTTTTTTAATTGAAGTCACATCGTTAATTGTATTTTATTTTGAGATTTTGGAACCAACTGAAATAAAATAGATTAATCCCTTAAAAAATATACAAACTTCATTTTCTTCAAGGAGAATAAATATAAGGTGATTGTTTGAGAAAAATAGCAAATTTCACAGAGTTCAGTCAGGTTGTCCATATTCCCTATCAGCCTCTTTTCTAAGTCATACTTTTGGGGACATATTTTTTCCTTGAGGTCCAGATGTTATGATAATTTGTGGTAAGAGACATTTCCCCCATTCAGTCAGTCACCATGCATGATATGCACTTAGGTGATCATGTATCTTTTGATAAATTACTGACAAGGCGGGTTTTTTCTTGCAGTATGTTGCCATTTTTTTCTGCAGTAGACTAGTTGCTACCCAAGGCTATAAAACCCAGTCTGTCCTGCTATTTACACACAATTGGTGGGGAGAAGAGGATTCATACCTTTCCTGGTGTGCATACGCAAGCAAGCAAATAATCGTTAAATTTATGCATGAGGTGTAAACGTAATAGTGCTCAATGTGGTTATACAGAGCAAAGATGTGTATTAATTAGTACATATACACATACCTACGTTACTCGTGCCCGATGAACTGGGAACACCACCCAGCAAAACTATAGTCACACGCCAAAAACGTAGGTACGCGTATATGTACTTATTAATACATACATACATATACATATATTATACACATTATTTCTTACTATAGTATAAACGTTATTTTTAGTGGGCACACGTGTTTGAGTTGCTATCTCTGTTTTGTATTTTATTAAACAGTGAAATGAATAACAATCAGCTTAAATTGAGAAGTTCTAGGAAAGAAAAATTGTACCTCAGACAGGAATTGATCACAGCCATCTTGCTAAACGTACCTACTTTGATCCGGAAACAAATATCCTTAATGAAATGAATGACTCAAGTGGTAAAGAAGCAAGAGTTGTTTCCCCTAGATCAAGCGTATACCGTCAAATGCATAATGAAGTGTTTTTCTGTCGTTGAACAGCGAAATTAGCTATTATTGACAGATGTAAGCTTAACAACATTAGAAATGCTCATAATACAGTGTTAATGACAGGTTCTAAAAATAAAAGAAAAGTTATTAATTAAAAAGCAAGAAGAAAGGACTATTAACAATAAGAAGAAAATGCATGTTTGTTAGCAAAAGAGACAGCCCACGATGTGAGTTACATATTGTGGACATTAAGATGCAGAGGGTTTAACCATTTGGTTAACGTGGTAAAAGAAGATGGAAAATGTGATAGAAAACAGAAAACTCATAGGAATAGTGAAAGATATCTTCCAGGAACTAAACATATTATTGAGAGATAGGAAAATTTCAATATCTGTCCATATTTCTGAGATGAGGTATTGTAACTATATACATTGTTTGGACTGTTGTCCTCATCTTTATTGCTATATTCACGTTTTGACAATTGTACCTGAAGAAGACTGGAGCATACAACAGTTGAAACATTGTGAATATGACAATAAATATGAGAACAACAGTCTGAACAATGTAAATGTAACTGAGTTATCAAAACAACAGCAGAAAACTGGAATTTGTTTAACAAGTTTATTACCTTTTGGTACAGAGAAACATAATGTAACTATGGAAGAAAATGTTTAGCCGTGAATGACAAACAAAGCAAAGGTGACTGCTCTTGATGTAGGAGTATTTTTATCTGTTTTGTCTGACGGGCAAGTCTAAACTTGTAGGGAAATATTCTCCCTCACAACAGTAAATGATGTAAATAGGAAAATTTCATAAGAAACAAAGTGAGGTAAGCTGTTATGTGAACTCTTATATGACTGAATGCTGGACAATTTCCTCAGAAATCAAGAATAGAATCAAAGTGGCAGAGATGTCGCTCTTCAAATACTGAGAATACTGGGGAGAAAATATGTAAGCAACAAGGAAATTTTAAGAAGATGAACTAAAAGGACTTACTTACTGAGGGATACTTGGAATCAGAGATCAATGAAATTTTTGGTGTACATAATGAGAGCAATGAGGGTCTTCACACTCACCAGACATTAGTGAGTGTAAAAGAAGCTGAGTGAATCAGCAAGATGCACAATGAAGTGCAATTAGTTTCTGTGATTGAAGAGTGGAAGGATAAGAAGTTAAAAAATATTTAGAGCAACAAAAGAGAAGAAGCTGTGGAGAGCTACAACATCCCTCATTCTGTAGGTTTATTGATTGATTTGTTTTTTTTCTACAGCTTATAAAACT